TTTTGCATTCGAATTGGATGTTGACATTTTATTTAAAAAAGAACACGGTTTCAAATTGAAAACTGAAATGAGCATCTGCCACGAGTTCTTCCTCCGTCTTAATAACGTAATTGTACCATAAGGCTGAGTGTATATTAAATTTGTGATTCGCTTTACAACACCTCGAAATATTTTTGATGAAAATAAAATCTATGTCGATTTAGTCATGTCTGTTTGCTGGTTGAAATCACGAGGGAGATCACAATATTTAAGATAGAGCTTCGACATTTTACACACACATTGCTATTACTCCTAGGATATTTGGTATTGAAAATCGGATATATCGTTCAGCTTTTTAAAGTAGCCCGATAATTCGATATTATGGGGATTTTACAAATATTTTTCAACCAAATTCGTTGTAATTTGCTACTTTTGGTTCTTCTTGGGTATCAAATCATCCGACCGAAACTGACAGATATTGGTAATATGTTGTTTTGGTAGTAAATCTTCCTACTAAATCTTTCTAGTAGGTAGTAATTCTTCCTTGAAGGAAGCCCCATATAACAATACATACCAAAGATAGTTTTTTGGGCCGCTAGAGCCTGTAGTATGTGCTCAAGCTCCCAAACAACGTTATAATCTAAATAATTCTAGTAGTTTATGTTGTTTGGCAGTTATGTGATATTTTATTTAATGTGCATCAAAACAATTGTATAGACACGACGAACCAAGAAGATATTTTTTTAAATAAATTAAGTTTGTATGGTGGAAAGCGAAGAACAATTGCTAGTCATGTACATATTATAACAAGGGTGAAATTCCCCAAAAAATAATCCTGTGTGAAAGTAACTGAGAAACCACCATATGACTTAAAAAGATAAGGCAGAAACCAACTTCAAAGTCTTCTCTTTAGGTCAGTCGTTTTTGATTATGAATTCTCAGTTACGCTCTTACACATTTACTCTCAATGTACGAACTACCCGGCAGTCCGCAGGCCACTACAATGTAATGCCTATCAGTAGGAAAAATGAAATAACACCGCTTAACAACATCCCATTCCGATGAATTGTATTGCTATTGCATTGTGAAACTAAATTCATACTGAAATTGAAGAACAAAACAAAATAATATAATAAAATGTTGTCATCGTACTTCCTGAATTGGGTGCCTTTGTATTGCACCAGATTGTTAGTATAATTTCGTTATTTGGTTTTGCAGCTATTTTTGGCGCCTTTTTATACCCTTCACCACACTGTGGTACAGGGTATTATGTCTTTGTGCATATGTTTGTAACAGACAAAAGGAAACGAGATAGACACATGGTTCCTTTTGAGAATTTGCATAGAATCACTTTCTAAGTCGATTTATGCATGTCCGTCCGTCCGTCTGTCTGTCTGTCCATGTTAAATTGTAAACAAAGTACAGGTCGCATTTATGATCCGAATTGGATGAAATTTGGCATAGGTCACTTATTCGGCCCAAGGACAAATCCTATTGAAATTGGGAAAAATCGGTTCAGATTTAGATAGCTCCTATATATATATTTAACCGATTTAATGTAAACGGTCCCTATATTACTTTCGATTTAGTAACTTGGTACAGCCTAATCATTTAGGTCTAGAACGATGTCTGCCAAGTTTCGTGAAAATCGGTCCAGATTTAGATATAGCTCCCATATATAGTTTCGTCCGATTTCATGTAAATGGTGCACCAACGTCCCTATATATCCTTCGATTTGCACGAAATTTGGCATACCGTACTGAATTGAGCCTAGAGTGATGTCTGCCAAGTTTCGAGAAAATCGGTCCAGATTTCTATATAGCTCCCACATATAGTTTCGTCGATTTCATGTAAATGGTGCACCAAAGTCGCTATATATCTTTCGATTTGCACGAAATTTGGCATAACATATTGAATTGAGCCTAGAGTGATGTCTGCCTTGTTTCGTGAAAATCGGTCCAGATTTAAATATAGCTCCCTTTTATTATAGATTGATTTTAAGTAATTGACGCACCAAGGAACCAATAGGAACAAAACGTTCTGAAATTAGTATAACCTAACCAGTGACAAGTTTGTTTGAAATCACTTAATATTTGGATAGAGCTTCGATATATAGTTTCGCCCGATTTCAAGTAAATTGGGCATCATACTCCTCATGTTAGTCAGATTGACATCACATTTTGCACAACGTACAAAATTGAGCATAGAATTACGTAGTTGTGTTTTCTAGAAGTACAGCCATAGCCCAACGGATGACCTATTTATATTGGTTTGAGGTCGATTTACATACTTTATGGATAGATCTAGGTAGATTCACATATTTTATTTCATCCAAATTCATGTTAATAGTCCTGTTTAATATACCCATAGTGGTGAAGGGTATCATATAGTCGGCCCCGTCCGACTTTACTACTTTCCTTACTGGTTGTTATTTCAATTCGTCTAAAGAAAAATTTTAATTTCTAGGGATTTTTGAAAGTGAAAGTTGTGGTAATAAAAATGAAATAATAATATTAAATTAAAAAGTATAGCAAGTGCTGGTTAAATACCCAGTAAATTGGGTAAATATCCCTTTGTGGGTATTTACTATATTGAATCGGCAATTCAAAATCTTACACCCTATTTCCGCGTTTCTGTTATCAAATCGATTTAAAATGGATAGTTTTACAATAGTTTAAAGTCGTGGGTAAATACCCAAGTATTTACCCAAAAATTGTGTATATACTCATTAACTACGAATATTGATGTGGAAAATGGGATCCCATATATCCCCATATAGCCGTACCTCCCGATTTAAGGTATTTTTGTCTATAAGACACATTTTTCGATCAAATTGGCTAAATTTGGCACAAAGACCTGTAGTTGTATTTATATAAAAACCATTTGAGCCAAAGTTTGACAGTCAACATCAGGGATGGTCCGTGTGACGAATTTTTAATTTTTCGACTGTCAAAAAGTTGCAAACGTCGAAAACGTCATATACCTGTATAAAATGTAATAAATGTAGTAAACGTCATTTATTTCAATATTATTACCAAATACAGTTATTTTCAAGAATATATATTATTTTTACGTACATCTGACTATTCCTTACTAGAGCTGATAGAAAATTCTAAACTTTTTTGAGAAGAAAATTTTGACATTTTATATGGATTTGAGTAAAGCATGAGTAATTTTCGAATTGATTAATGGGAATATCTATCTTGTCAAAAACCTAATGGTTTTGGGTGGGTTTCTGACGTATGTATTATACGTCGGAAATGTATGTCATTTACGTCACTGTTTTTGACGGACCATCTCTGGTCTACATCAAGAGGTTCGCAATTTACTGAGTTTATACCCAATTTTTTGGGTAAATACTCATGTACTTACTCAAATTACGCTCTCGCGCACTTACACTTAATTTAGTTCTGTTCAACACTGGTTTACATTAGAGGTGTGCAACAAAAAATTCTCAGAGAACAAATGAGAACCTGCCATATGAAATGACTTACTAAAAGAGAACGCAGAGAACGAACTTTTTTATACAAGTAAACAAGGGCACCAGTTCCCATGCTTGCCCAGCATTAGTTTACAATGTACCAATAAGCTCGTTCTCGTTCTCTTCAATTCATATGGCGGTTTCTCATTTAATCTCAGAGTATCAGACTATCTGCACACCCCAAGTTTATGTTCCATTCACAGTATATTGCATACAATGCACTATAGGTAATTTGTTAAACGATTTTTTTACTTTTTAAATGATCTATATGTACAGAAAGATAAAACGCAGATTTCTACAGTGGAAACCGGATATAACGAACAACGGTTATAAGCAACTACACATATAACGAACAAAGCTAATTCTTTCTCAGATATTTTCATTAGTATTCTTATACACAACAAACGATTGAAAACAATTAGGGTAGTAAGTTAAAAAAATTCGACCCCGCGATTAGATTTTTAAAGGAATAATTATTACAATGTAGTATGTTTTTGCAGAATGCATTAATAATGATTAATTTAGTACCCATTTATACTCCTTAAAGTTCTTAATATGTAAAAGTGGGATAAACCATGCTTACTACAGTCGAACACGATTATAGTAAACCCTGGATATACTGAACAAAATTGTTTTAATATGTGATTTTTTTATCAATGCTGAAAAAAGTAAATTTTGGTGGTTTCTTTTCTAAGGGGAAACCAAGCCCGCCATTTCTCCTTCTCCACTTTATAGATTGTTTCTCATAATCTTTCCTTCAACAACCTATTTGCGATTTACGAGTCATGTTATTTATTTTGTAATCAAAATTCGAGTGCATTCATTTTTCGCGGAAAAGTTCTATCTTCCTTCCTATTGCATTTGGTCCATCTTGACGAATGCATGCAAAAGAACCTAATTTCCTCTTTTAATTTGACGTATTTTTCGTCCATATTGTTGTTATTGCCATCTTTACTTGCGAGGGCGTTGTAAACAAAAATATGTTTCTTTGCTTTTATTTCTTTCATCAAGCCAAATATCGAACATGTTATTGCTTTTTATTCTGAAGTTCCCTACAAAAAACGGATATATCATGAAAAACGCGAAAAATCGCAATTTGAGACCTATTGGAATCAATTTAGAAGGCCTTCATTAATATATTTCAGCTGTCAAAATTTATGTTTAAGGGAAAATTAAAATAACAATTATCTTGCGGAATTTATTTAATTATTTTTTTTAACATAAATAACATCCGAGGAAGTTTAAATAATATATTTATTAAAAAATTAAGTAATTTTTTCATTTAAGTTTTATTAAATAAATTCCGCAGAATAATTTTTATTTTAATTTTCCCTTAAAAAATTTTTAAGAGAAATTTTGCCTACCATTTGTATATTGGCCGAGACAGCTCATAAGTTAGCGTTGGCATGTTCAGGTATGGAAAAGTGCGCACACAAATTCTCTTAGCAGAGAGTGCGAAGTGACGTGTGCGCTCCTCAGATAAGTGTGGCATTGTCGTGCAAGGAAATAGTAAATGATTAGTATTAGCCCAAGTGTTGACCGAATACTGTCGTTGGTGCGGTGAGTTTGACTGGCAAATATGATACCGTAACTTCGTTTGTTTTATTCCTCTTCTTGTTTTTTTATTATTATTTATTCTCACATAACACCGATAAATGCAATAGTTATTGTATTGATGGCAGAGCAGATAGTGGCGAGAAAATCTTTACAGAGTGTACGTATTGTGGTTATTGGTGCGGGACCGTCGGGTATTGCCGCTGCCACGAAGCTTATCGATGCTGGATTCCGCAATGTTGTAATACTGGAGGCAGAGAATCGTATTGGCGGTCGCATTTACACTGTTCCGTTTGCCGACAACGTTGTTGATTTGGGGGCCCAATGGTGTCATGGAGAGAAGCATAATGTCGTATACGAGACTCTGCAAAAAGAAAGGTTAAACCTGGTCGAAAGTACGGGCGATGTGTATGAAGATTATAAATGTATACGCTCGAATAAGGAGATTGTTCCTGACGATGTTGCCGAAAAACTTAAATCAATTGCATTCAGTACAGTGCCTGAGAGACAAGAAGGCCTGGTAAACTATGAGGGCTCGCTGGGGTCCTATTTGACAGAAAAGTATTGGAGTGACATTTCTAAGCTGGAGCCCAAAGTTGATCGAGCTTTGGCAAAGGAATTTTTTGAAAACTTTAAAAAATTTGAGAGTTCCGTGGAAGCATCTGATCACTTATTTGAAGTGTCCGGCAAGGGGCATTTGGATTATTGGATATGCGAGGGTGACCTCTTGCTAAACTGGAAGGATAAAGGCTTCAAGACTTTCTTGGAGTTACTCTTAAAATCAAGTGTGGAGAAGCCATTTGGTATACTAGATGGTAGAATTTTTCTAAATCAAAGAGTTGAGCAAATCGACTGGTCCAACCCCCACAACATCAGAGTAAAGTGCTCGAATGGAACTGTATTGACATCCGATCATGTCATTTGCACCGTTTCGCTAGGAGTTTTGAAAGAATTACATGGTAATATGTTTATTCCCTCATTGCCAGTTTCAAAGGTAAGATCCATCGAAGGCTTAAAGCTGGGAACTGTAGACAAGTTCTTTTTAGAATTTGAGAACCCTTTTGGGCCATCAGAGTGGAAAGGAATGTGTTTTCTGTGGCTGGAAGAAGACCTAGAAAGCCTTAGAGACTCCAATTTATTCTGGCTTGAAAGTGTGTTTGGATTCTACCGGGTCTCCCACCAACCTCGAGTGTTACAGGGTTGGATTATTGGCCCCCATGCTCGACACATGGAGTCATTAACCGAAGAAGAAGCACTTGGTGGAATTTTGTGGCTACTTAGAAAATTTTTAAATTTTAATGTGCCAGATCCTGTCGGCTTCAAGCGCACTCAATGGCATGCCAATGCAAACTTCAGAGGAAGTTATACATTCCGTACTATTTTGTCCGATGAGCTACGCACAGGTGCCTGGGATTTGGCGGCACCAGTAACTACTATACAGGGCCGACCGGTACTGCAATTCGCGGGTGAATCAACACACAATCATTACTATTCGACCGTACATGGTGCTGTAGAATCAGGATGGCGTGAAGCTCAACGTTTGCTAGAACTTTACACTATGATACCGTCTCGTCTGTAGAAAATGTATGTATGCGCAATAAAATAAATACAAAACATATTTTCTGAAACCAATTTTCAATTGCCTAATGTTGTCATTATTGAAGATCATAGAATGCAGTGGATTATTGACGACGTATGTCGCTTAAAATGCTCTATCGGTTTTAATTATTGCGTCAGATTCATTCTGAAAGAGTGAAAATCATTCTGAAAGAGTTGATACGGATGCCTGAACAGCCGCGATGCTTTCAATAGTTTTAAGTTTTTCTTTTTTGAGTATTTAAGAATTTTCGCTTTCAATAGTTTTAAGTAGTATTTTTTGAGTATTTAAGAATTTTCTCTTTACACAAAAAATACATACACGTATAAAGGAACTTAGGGTAATGTGGACTATGCGTCTTATATATTTTCGAAAATGCTTGGAATATGACAATGCCGCCTTGATAAATGTTTTCCTAATAAGTGAAAACAAACATCTAACTTAATTGCAATGTTGAAAATTTAGTTAATTTCCAATTTTGAAATCTGTAATTTAAAATTTTTTTAACACCTGAGTCGAACAATTTGTTTTCTCAAATATACTTATATATACTGGTTACTTATTTTCCACAACAAAATTCATGGTACAATTATACAAGGTAGCTGCAATATTCAGCGGATTTGATTGTATCGCTTTAGGGAATCAGAAAAAATACAACATCATTTTGTGAAATGTTTGACATTTATCTTTGCTATATTCCCAAATTTGCAGACGATAGAAAAATATAGTATCGGCGTTTACTTTTTTCTGAACCGGTTTTACAACCACGAATTAATTTAAAAGAGTACTAATCGCTTGCTAACAATTATACATTTTCAAATCAAAGAAATCGCAACAAAATTTCGTTGCCCTTTGGTTTACAATGTACTTCAATTTCCTAATGGGAAAATTTGAAGCAGCAAATCCTTTTGCAATAAGAAATTGCTATCTTCAACGCTATTTTTAGCGTCGGTAATGTCTCAAATGGAGGAAAGATGTGGAAGCGATGAAATTACAAATAATTACATTTTATATTAATTAAAAAAAGACTTGACGCAAGTAAACTCGCCTAATCTAAATTGGGACTTTCATACAATAACAACTGTTGTTGAATTTTATTTAGTGTAGTTTTGCATTTAGCTTGTATAATTGTTCCATTAACAAAATTGTACGTTTAGGTATAATTACAATCGGCGTGTTTTATTTTTTATTTATTTTTTTAGGTCGAAAATTATTTTTAACAAAAACTTTCAAAGTCGGGTAATGTGGACCACTATAAAAAAATGAGTCCATATCCAAAGCATTTTTGTTTTTTTCATTGTTTGTTCTTACATTTCAATAACAAATACTATTCCAATTGTTATAATGCGACACCGACAAACTTCATAATTTGTGTTTTGCTTGGGGTGGCACAAGTAAAATTGTCGTCATGCGCTTTTAATGCTAGCAATCACATAAACGTTGCAAACTTTGCCACGAGTGAGGCATTGGAGGCTTTCTCTTCCAAAAAAATTTCACTTAACCGAAATGAAGAAGATTGAACTCTTACAACAATCAGGTAAGTATCATACAATCAGACACAACTTTTAGTGCTTTTCCCCGTTTCACGCTTCATCGACTGTGCGGTTCATATTTTAGATCGTGGAGTCTGTATTCTTAGTTCCGAAATGGTTTCGAACATCATATAATAGCTTACAATACGACAGCCACAATGGGAAGTCGTTGTTCTGGCATTGTCAACAATGGCTGAACAGATTGCGAATATTTGGATATGGTTAAAGAAGTGGAAATAAATCAAAATAACAATAGATATTTGCTAAAGAGAAAGAACAGCAACAATTGTTATGTCCCATTCTTTGCAAAATGTTATTGTTGTTACACAGTACCCAAGGTGAGGCGGGGACTGTGTTCGGTGGAGAGCACAATTGTGTGCTTCTGCTACATTGTATTCAGCTTCCGTATTAATCCATTTGAAATGGCTTCACTAGCATTTTTATTCTTGATTTTTTTAATAGACATGTCGACAAAAAGATACCCCGTTGTTCGAGAAACCAGTTACGAACAATCTACTTTTAATGCATTAGACTGGTGAATTTGACATGGGGATGTCATTGAGGTTAGTCAATTGTCCCCTGATTGCGATACCAGAAAATTCCAAAAAAGTCTAAACAAAATGACAAAACAATTTATATATAGAGAATTTATTTTAAACAAATTCGTAACAATCCTTTGAAATTCATAACATCTCATTTTAAATTCGAATTAAAGTTAAAAATAATTTAACAACGTTGCTTATATTCCGGCGAGGCGTACTAAAATCTTCAACTTCTCCACTATTGCGAAATGTTTTGTACGGCCGTGTTACCCAAATACGTCGAATCCGTATATCCTAGCGAACTAAACAAAATCGAGGAATAAAATTGAACAAATTATAAAACGTGTCCACGTGAATTCTTATTGAAAAATTAAAATGTCCTTTAGGTTTTGTTTCTATATTCAACAAACGATAAAAAAACTAAAATTCGATCTGTCATAGTAGAATATTTTTCAACTTTGAATATTTGTACAACGACGTATTTCGGTAACATTGAAATGAAATCGACTTTATTCCGGTTGGAATTTAAAAACTAAAATGTTATTTCACTGGTGTATAAAAATGTCTACATCAAACACAAGTGCAGGTAATGTGGTATACTTTGAGTGTGCTTGAAAAAGCGGGCACAAGACGAATTATCATTACTTCTTGATAGATTTGTCCTCTACTCCATACACAAATTAAATATGCTAGGTATTGACGAGATTATATAATAAAAAATTAACGTTCCCCCCAATGTATCTGTTAAAAATGTTAACAGAAATAAATCTCGAGCCAATTCACATTTATTAAAAACGATTAATTCAATGAGATATCAATTAGAAGAGCAAATTATACTATACCACATTAAAATCATATAGTATACCACAGTACATGCACGTTATTTAAAACACCTTTAATCGAATTTCAAATATTTTCTTAAATATCTCAAATTGTGGGATTAATATTATTTTCAAATTGATTCGTGGAAAAACTTCACATGTGACATGTTAATGGTCAAATTTCAATTTAATCGAATAAAAAAATAAAAAAAAATAGCAATTAAAAACACATGGGTATACCACCTATGCATCACTTACTCTACATGTATTTCAATGAATGTTACCCAATTACACATTGCGAACGGACAATTTGAACCAAACTGTGAACAACCTATTATCTTTTACAAGCCCAGATGAGATCCGAAGAGTGGGACCCATTGGTCTACTCCTTCTGGTACCTCCCCAACAAATGGTCAACATTTTCAATATTTACAAGTCCAAAAATAGGCGAATGGAATGTCCGATTTGAACCAAACTATATACAACTTAGTACATATATATATATATATATATATATCTGTCGGCAACACCGACTGACACTTTTTTACTTTTTTTTAAAAAAAGTTTAAAGAAATGGCAACATTCTGCCACAATTGGAAAATGCACGTAGAACAATTGTTCATGTAGCGAACATGGTTTTCATATAATAAAGATAGGGAATGTCTTGCTGTGGGTCTCTTGTATAAAAGAGAGAACATTCAGTTAAACAGGGATCTATTTTAGTATAAGTCCACTTGAGATAAGATATTATTCTTGTTGAATGTTTCTAAACTAAAATACGATAGGATTTTTCTATTGCCACATGTGACATGTTTGGGTGAGATTACGAGGAAAAGTTTACACTGCAGACTGATAAGCATGTTTGCTTGCCGCATATGAGATAAAGAATCGTGTGTGTCCACTCCATGTGTTATGGGAGATGTGTTTACGCACTCTCTCTCTCCCTTTTACACGTTAGTCTAAGATACATTAAGACATATTGTAATACTCAGTTCTTAAGAAACCACACAGAGAAAAGTGCTTTCACTCCGCGGAGAATATCAGTGTCAACATAATGAAACGATCCCTGGTTAACAACCATTATATACATATAATTCGTAGAAACCTTTGTATTGGGGATATGTCAAAACATAAGCCTATATTTAAAATATTTTTCCAAGAATATTTTTCCAAACCAAGATATTTTTCCAAACCTGGTTAAACATAAAAAATTGGCGGGAAATCTATATTAAACGTCATCGTAGGAAATTAGCAATCAAGATTTGAAAATAAAATAGTGCGGTAATGTGTTCACCTTTCCACAACGTTAGTACGCGTCACGCAATATATTCCCCTGGTGTCAATCTTATGTGTGCTTTTAAACGGCATTTACATTAGATGTTTTTGCCGGCTTAACCTACTCTATGAGGATTTATTTATATTTTATTATATATGTTACCATTCTGATTATTTGGTGCACCATTTGTTGAAAACGAGCAAAATTGAGCAAACCGCAGTTGCTCAATTTTGTTATGCTGCAGCACAGTGCGCTGTCCACAACTTTATCTCGTGTATATTTAACAGACGTAAGCTCCTCGGATAACCACTAACATAAAATCAGACGAAAGAATATATGGGAGATATATCGAAATTTCTAAAAAATATTTGGGAGGTTTATATAAATCTCAACCGATTTCAGTAAAACTTATCATACGTCTATCTGGACCTAACTCAATACACTGTTCAAAATGTTTTCTCAATCGGATAAATATTGGAAGTTTGGCGCACCATTTACCAATTTCAACAAAACTTCACAGACTTCAAACTGGACTTAATTAAGTGCCCTGTGCCAAATTGTGTCGAAACTATATATGGGAGCTATATATAATTCTGAACCGATTTTCTTCAATTTCAATAGGGTTCGTTCTTGGGCCAAACTAATGGAATGTGCCAAACTTCATCCAAATCGGATCATAAATGCGACCTGTACTTTGCTCACAAAAATACATGGACGGACGGACATGGATTAAAATGGTCCTAATTCAGTATGCGGTGCAAAATGTTGTCTAGATCGGACAAAAAGTTGGCGTCTGGAGCACCATTTAGTCAAAATCGGAGGAAAATATATATGGGATCTATATCGAAATCTTAACCGATTTTCTCCAATTTCAATAGTGTTCGTTCTTTAAGCAAATAAGTGACTTGTGTTAAATTTCATCCAAATCAGATAATAAATGCGACCTGTACTTTGTTCACATGGATACATGGACAGGAGATTGGTCGGACGGAAAGACGGACATGCATAAATCAACTCAGAAAGTGGTTATATGCATATTCTTAGAAGGAACCATGTGTTTATCTCGTTTCCTGTTGATTGTGTTTGTGTTGCAAACATATGCACAAAGACATAATACCCTGTACCACAGACTGGTGAAGGGTTTGATAAATATTACAACAATCCACCCACAAAGTACAAGGTACCATTATAAGTAACACCATACACCTGCCAGAAAAAAATATTCGTACACATTTCACTTAAATTTCAAGCTCAAAACACGATGTTTTTTAACAATGATTTATTGAACGTTGTATTTATTCTGGCAAGTGTATATTCTGTAATTAATGCGTATACAGGATATCTCGTATACAGGCAGTATATACACATGTTTTATCTTGTCTTGGAATTGTTTACTTACATTTTCGGAGCATTCACACTTTAGTATCCATTCGATAGCAATGAACTTATTTTGGATATGCATTTGGTGCGATTGATAAAATTCCTGATCGATGCCATCCAACGAATTGGTGTCCCACAGTGATGCCAGAGTTGGCGCTGTCCTACCAAAAGCAAGTATTTGATCTTCTTGTTGCTGGACAATACTAACAGGATCAGCAGCATTCAAAGGACACAGCATTTCTACCTGTTTATATAAAAAAGATATAAAAATAGCAAATTCGTGAAATTCCTTTCGAGTAAGTGATCGCCACATGAAAAAATAAATTTACAGATAGTTTTGTTATGGGCCATTGCACCAATATTCCGTTTTCTTAGACAGCATCTTTGAATGGCATCGAAATTCGCTGAACGTACCAAAGTCGGTGCGATAATTTTCAGCTGTGAGAACCTTTTTTGAGTTTTGTAATTCGAAATTAAAAGGACTAATAAAAAATAAGGTATGCGTTCTGCCGACCTTTAAATGTTTGACGTTTTGTATCGTATTTTAGTAATTGAGTTGATTTCTTATTTTTCATGCCTGTCGGAGGATTTACATGTTGCCGATTTAGGTAATATGTTCGTACAGAACAATGTATTCGTACAAAAGTCGATTTCCCATTTCACTTTCCTTGAACGAATTAGTGTGTAAGATTTGGAATTATATAAAGTCACTACGTATGACAGCACTGTCATAAAGTTTTCCATATTCTGTCCTATTTGAAGCATATCGAATACAGTATGATCCGTGGAGAAGTTTTGTCTACTCTATATATATGTATATATATAATAAATTTAATATATATATATATGACATTTCATATTTTTAAATTTTATTGTTACCTGTATTGTTGTTGATATGGATGGTATGCAGCATTTTCTCTGGTTAAAACAGCGCCCACAAACCTTGGGACGATACAATTTTCTTGAAACGCATTCTCCCAAACGTATTCGAGCCGGTCCCAAGTATTGCACGTGTTGGCAATCCCGATTTTTCTGTAAGGTGTAAGTTATGGCAAAAAATCGAAATCGTTTGTTAAACTGTTTATATATATATATTGAATTGAAACTATTTTATGTGATATCCACTTTCAAGTTAGTTTTTTGTAAGTTATGGCAAAAAATCGAAATCGTTTGTTAAACTGTTTATATATATATATATATATATAGGCCCAAGTGCCTTCTAACACCTCACCCACAATTTGTCATTTCCTTCCCCCAGAATGATTAACAAAAATGTTCAATTGCTTCGAAATAAAACGGCATTCTTCGATAAAAACTATATGGATTGGTCCGGAAGCGTGTAAAAAAAGGCGAAAGATCTTCTAGAGAAATGAAATGAAAATATGATTTTTGTACCTAATGATAACCTCAGGACTAGAAATGCAGGACAAATTTCGAATACAAATGACCATTTTTGTTTAAATGTTACATTTAAACTGAACTCTGTTGAAGAGGCGTGGGATTATATCCAAAATGACAGATTGATATTTTTCACATATGCAATATATCAAATTAGAGCCAATTCGGTTGAAACGCATCCAAAATACCGAATATTGGGAGATACACCATAGTGTCGACATTTTAAAAACGAAACATTCAAGGGGTAGTAGCACTGTATGTGGTCTATGAAGAAGAATCCGTGTGAATTATGCGTGTTTATACCAATGACAGTAATGTAAATAACTGACTGTTACTTTCAGCCACTCACATATTTCACGCGAACTTTACGTTTGGCATTTCATACCCTCCACCATAGTATGGGGGGCATACATATTAAGTTTGTTTCTCCATTTGTAACTTATCGAAATAATCATTTCCGACCCTATATAGTACAAACATTTTGATCAGCGTCAAATTCTGTGTTAATTAATCTACAAAAACTTATCAATATCGGTGTACTTGTTGGGTTAGCCCCCATATAACGGCGCCCCAAAATATGGGGATATTGAGGGTGTTGGGCAAGTATTTTCAACTGAATTTGTTGCAATTTGGTATTTTATAACAAATCTCTCTACCAAAATGATAAATATTCATCCCTTTTTTTGGGTATAGCCCCCCTATAAAGTCTATTTTTATTTTAAAATATTTAACTAATGTGTACCGCGTTTTGGGATTAGCCCCATATACCCGTATTCCGATTATAGAACTGGAAAAACAGTTTCAAACTTCCCGTCATTCCTTTAGATCTGCATTACGTACATCTTTCTTCAGTGTGTAATTGCAATATCTTATTTTCCATATACAATTTCTCATAAATGTTCTACGGGATTGAGATCTGAGCGTGACTTCTTGATCCATAAATGCTAAATGAAAGACATTGTAAACTTCAAAACACGTACCTCATTAGATTGAAATCAATCAGCTACGTGTTTTGTGTCTATTCTCTTCTTCCATTGGATACATTACGTCGTTTGAAATAGATGTGTAACCGGCAAAGATCATTGTATTTAAAATGAAGTGGACCTTACTAATTCTTCATTGTATATTTACTGGAGTGTACGAAGTTAATAATCTAATTTGCTATAATGGATAATCGAGGTGGTGCAACTACTCGGCTGCGTTTTGTTGAAAACTCACCTTCTTCATTTTGTGCTTGCGACGGCGATCCACGTGCTGATGACTTGTGCTCTGGGGTTTTTCCCTTACTGTCTTCTGAGTTTTGGTTGCCAAATAATCGACCGCTTCAGACGACACACCGTGATAGCCGTTTCTCGAAATGCTACTACATTTTCGATTTTCACACAGCCGTAAATTGATCAATTGATTGCATCCAGCTGCGGTGGCCGTAAATCGCGTGGATATTCCTAAACCACACGACCGGCTACATGATGTCCACGGACTGGTTGATGAATTGTGGCACGTGGCATACACTGGCGATATAGAAAGAGGACACATGAAAAATAAATATTAATCTCATTTGGTTATATACACTTAATCCGAAAAAAATATGTTGTGTTTTATTTTATTATTTGACATTCTTGAAGAAATAATGAACCCTTAGCTTTTAAATGAAAACCATACGTGAATATATGTATATGAAATCTACCCCTTTATAAGGGTGGGTTTTTATTCCATTCCTGTAAAGAACGCGTTTTAGATATGTTATATACTCCCGTCAATGTTATATGAAATTCATATCCGATGAAAGTTTTGAGATTATAAGCTATTTTGAAACATTATTTTGCAGCCAATCCCAAGTAGGACTTATTTATTTGGTTCAATTTTGAAGATTTTGTGAAACGAAAACCTTGTAAAGGAGTCATCCATATATACTTCTCCTATACTATGTTTGAAAGAATTATTAGAAACTTCAGAAATGATTGTGAAAAACAAAAAATATGTGTATGTTGTTGTTTTATTTTATCTGAAAATGTGTGCTGTCGAAATCAGTTTAACGACATCGTTTATAGTGTTATGAAGATAGTGTTATGTTTTACAACTTTGTTCTTAAGCACCTTCCCCCAAAATTATTTTTTCGCTAAATAAATTTAGTTTTACAACAGAAAACTTTTAATTCCATTAGAATTCTCCAAATTTCTAAAAAAAAGAATTCACAGCTTATGATCACATACCCCTAATTTTTTATAGAACTACGTTATTTGTCCTATTTTTGGACGAACTAATTGTAAATTTGAAAAGCAGATTTCAGGATAATGAAAAATAATTAAAACATTATCAAATGGCACTACATTTGAGTGCCATTATAAAATTGTTGTATTAAGATTTTAAAGAAAACATTCAATTTTATGAAAAAGATGTTCGAAATTGTAAACACGAAGTAGAAACTGCATCGGATCTTTGTATCACTATGTGGAAAGCGAAAGTACCACGACCAACTTCTTCGTTAGCTCGTATGTCAATGCATAAATCTGAAGTGAATACTAACAACATGATACACCTAATTCTGTTTTTACACGATAGAATGGTTCCCGAGAAATTCGTGTAAAAAAAATCGTGTAAAAAAAGATACTGGCCAAGTACAAAAATAAAAGATTTGTTCTAGATCTCAAAAAATAAGTTAAAATTAGACTAAATAATATACAAAAAAATATTGTTGTAGTTATTTTAAGAATTTATTTTCGTTTTAATTTATTAAATAAACTAAATTATAATAAAATAAATTAAAATTTAGATTTCATAAAAAAAAATAATACCAGAATTCATTGCCAAAAACTTAAATAGCATAAAGAAAAATTTAAATAGCATAAAAAAAAATTTAGAAAAATTTAAACATTAAACAATTTTATTTATTGTCACTGTCTGATAATAAACGTAAACGTTTGCGAAAGACTACAATATCACTGCCATCACTGGAATGATTTTGTTGATCATTATCATTTCTAGCCGACTGTGTTGGGACATCAGTAGATTTTTGAACGAAATCAGTTATCTTAGATTGAGTTTTATTTCGCGTTAACCCATTATTTCCCGTAAAACAGAAATTACGCATACATAGACATAACTCAGAACACACACCAGAATTATATAAAATGTTGCCATATCAGAAATTCATGCCATGCAGGGTTGTTACTCTAATTAAGGCAGGGATGTTTGAGCAAAAGCATTCCAGAATTTTCTTCAATAAATAAATAGTTCATGTAAAAAAAGTAATTTAGTTTTTTTTTTTTGTATTCGTGTTATTTCAAATTATGTCGTATTTACTCGTGTTATTTCAAATTCGTGTAAAAACAGAATTAGGTGTATACATATTTTTTCTAAAGATAGAAGACTTGATTTGTAATACAGATTATTTTTTTAACCCTTTCAGTGCTTTTGTCAAATATATTCGACATTTAAAAGTACTCTCTTTCTTTGCGATTTTTCGGTTATCCTATGTACCGTTACTATTGATGTTTTTGTCTTTGCTGAAAGACAGTCGAACCAGCCCGAGGGTTAAAATGAAAATTGCTATTTTTTGTTAAAAATGAAATGAGTGTTAAAATGAAAATTGCTATTTTTATAAACTCTGTGCTTTTATATGATTTTAAATACAAAATTTTAAATTTTTATTCCGACAAAATTTGTTTTGACACTGAAAGGGTTAGTATAAAATAAATTTAATATATACCCAATACATTACCCTTTCAGTGTCAAAAATTTTTTTGTTGGAATAAAAATCTAAAATTTTGTATTTAAAATCATATAAAGGGACATAGTTTAGAAAAAATAGCAATTGTCATTTTAACCCTCGGTCAGTTTCGTCTGTCTTTCAGCAAAAACAAATACATCAATAGTAACGGCATAGGATAACCGAAAAATCGCAAAGAAAGAGAGTACTTTTAAATGTCGAATATATTCGACAAAAACACTGAAAGGGTTAAAGGTAATGAATGTATAAATTTTGATTTTGATCCCAAATAATATGAAGTATTGTCTTCAGCTTAAATTGTTTTTTTACGATTAATATTGCCTTTCCATAGAAATATTATTTATATTTTCAAACAAACGTATACGAATTTAACATTTTTACAAACTATATTAAATAAAATTAAAATAAAACACTGTTTTATAACTTAATTAGTATATGATTATGTATATTATATTTAAGGAATGAAAAAATTTAAATTTTTCATTTCGAACCACCGGACCACCCCCGAAATTCGATACTGCGTACGTCCCTGATGCCAACATCTGAACAACAAACAATTACTGCGATTTTTGAACCTGTACTTTAGTGATTGACTGTACGTATGCATGTGTGACTGGATGTTGAGATATGCAAATCCAGTCTCAACATAATTTCTCCTATCGTATGTTATTAACATACACGCTTATATAAATAATGTGTTATATGTATGCAGATCAATTCGGTCACAGACAAATGAACAGAGCCCTATCATTTGCATTTGTAAACCTCGCAACCGTGCCCGCATTTTTATGTTGAAATGCAAAGCGTCGGGCCTATGGCTGACCCTGCGATGCAATTAATCACAGATGCGTCTGGCTACGAGTTAATATTCGTTGAGTAGTTGGCTGAAATGTTTTCTGCTACCTGACCTCAATCGGCGAAATGATTTATAATCAAATGACCACATTGAAGTCAACTGGGTTATCATACATTCAAACCGGTTTGTGGTCTGATTGAGAAATGTTTTCGAATGTTCAAATTAACACCACAAAAACAGCAGTATGCGTTGATAAGTTAAATAGTCTAAATGGTGTTAAGTCTAGATATACGGATGTTAAGTACGAGGGCAGTTCGGAAAGTTCTTAGCCTAGCACAAAAAGCGCGTATTGCAACTCTTTCGTATAGAAAGAGATGTTCAAAAATGACGCTTCCGCAATTTTTGTTGCAATGAAAGCACGCATTTCTTATTTTTCAATTGTAAAAATGGTGGATGGGTCCTTTTTGAACATCTGTTTCAATATGAAGGAGTTGCCAGATCGAAACAAAATTTAACATGTGTTCATATAAGAGATGGAAGTTTCCAAAACACTTAACTATTTTCTGTTTATACAGCGCTTTATGTGCTAGCCTAAGAACTTTCCGAACTGCCTTCGTATATACCTACTTTTACTAAAGCGTTTCAAACCAATTGAAATAAAATACCCATTATTAGAGAACCCATAACACATGTTTATACACATAAACTCTTTTTTATACTCGCAGTCTTAAGGAGTTACCGATGTTATCCAAACTTTGTCTGTAAATCTAGTATTGACTGACTGAACTCTCGAAGACTATGCCAAAACAAAGAAGAGTATTTAGTTGACGTTGCTACTTACCATCGGCTGAGGGATTCTCGCAGAGCCACATTTTACAACAGTGCCCCGGCACTTCCACTAGTCGCGGAGATCTGCATGATATGGTGTCCTCGGGAGCTGGAAGCTGTTCTTTCGGACACAACGATGAGCAGGCATGTCTACCGTTCTGCAAGATACGAAATACCGCAAAGAATAATAAGGCCTGTGTATTGGGATTTGTCAGAAATACGATCGACTTACCTCGCAAACGCATTGCGTTCTACAGTCCAATTTGAACGTTTCCCCATGAGCATAGGTCGTATTGGCCACAACACAATTTGCTGTTTTTTATGCCAGTCAAGTATATTTGAAAATGGAGAACGTGTATATGCATTATTATTTTTATTGCTTCTACGTATATTATGCGATAATTAACTAACAGAAGCTGTGGCTGAGAATTATAACCTAAGTCCATAAAGACATGTACATCGGTTAAAGAAACCTTGCATTCATGAAGCCATAAAAGTTTTAATATCGTAATTTGCTGTAGAACTAAAATACAATATGACTTAAAATTGACCTAGGTGTTATGAGGAAACCTCTAGGATTCCAGATAAGAGAACTCAATTTCGTAATGAAAACAAACTGGAAACATGTGACACTCTTGAAAATCCCGTATGACCAACTCTACTACATACTGTCGAGTATAGTTCGGGAATATGTGTCCATATAATGTACGTATTAGAAACTAAAAGTAAAATTTCTGAATAGTGGCTTCGACGACTGAAATATGTGTTTGTGTCTGAGCGATATAGAGAAAAGTGTACATTTTGTTTATAGTTCTATAACTTTATATTCTGAATGTGAAAAACAACATAATAGGTGGTCTTATTTTATCGACTATCGACTAGATGAGACAATTGAATGTATTATTATTTAGCATCTACCATTATCGGCTAATATTCCATTTCTATTTCTCAGTAATGGGTATGCTCACCTGGACTCGCAGATATCTGAAAGAAATTAAAGGAAATCAGACATGTCTGAACTATTTTAAAGTCTGCACCACCAGAACTTACCTTGGTAACCTTGAAGTCTAAGGAGAGATTTGCAACAGCTATGGGTACAGCTGTTGTGAGAACTATACCCACGAGAGGCACTAGATAAATATGCATTTTTCTATATACTAAAAATAAAGTAAGAAAGAATTACAATAATTATATATTTTTAATAACACTTAATTTGAAATGGATAGATACAGAGTGATCATTAATTATTATTTTCAAATTGGTGGTCTGCCCACACAGCCACCTTTTGTTCACAGAGTCGCCAAGTCGAAGAAGTAATTACGAAAAAATATATTTGTCACCGTCGAAATAATGCTGTCACCTCATTCCCAGCGTTCAGTCAGTTTTAATTACAAAAAACAAACTCTGACTATTTTGCAAATACAAATGGTATCCCAAATAAACCGCCAACACTATTGAAAAAAAAAAACAAAAACAAAAACAAAACAATAATACTTTTGAGGGTTCGCATTGCTGAAATGTTGGAATAAATAATAGCACAATTATTCCACTTGCCCCAATTTTAATTGTCAGCACCGAACGATTCGCTCTTCACCTGGTTGTGCTATTCCCTTCTAATGACAACCATTTCCTATTAAAGTTTCCAATTGAAAAGGCACCTCCGGAGAACACTGCTGTACAATATGGAGAAGAAATGATTAAAAATAAAATTACGTGCTGTAATAGGAGATGTAAATAAGTGTGTTTTGCATCTTTGTATTTTGCATTTGCACCGATTCGGTTGGGCGACAGTGACAGGAAACAGACATGGTATGCCAAAAATAAAAAATAAATGACAACCAGGCGACTTGAATATTTCAAAAGTCCGACAGACAGAACAAAACCAGAATGTCACAATAGTCCACAATTTGATTCAAACCAGTGTTTGGAAAAGACCGGTATGTTTCTGTAAAATTCGAAACGAAAGAATTCAATCGAATTCATTCATATTTCAATAAATCGCTAGGAGAGGTTTAGTTTTAGAGAAACGCTACGATTTTTGGTGTTCTGACAAGTGAAATACTTCGATTTTTAGTACTCATACCTCTGTGTATTGGTACAGTACGCCATCGTCGTGTACCCATCCGTTTATGGTACGGCACGGAACACTATGGTGCGGTACCATATTGCTTATTTTCGAGCACTGGTTAAAACCACAAAATATATCACATATATAATCAAACTAATTGTACAATGAACATGTTAATTGAGTTTCCATTGCCATATGACTCCCTAAGACAACAGTGTTTTTTTTTCTAAATTATTTAGTTGTTGTAATTCGCAAATATATCATATAGACGCGGGTTGGAACACAAATATTTTTTTGTGCTCCTCCAGTAGTTTGTGCTCCACTAATGGGATATTATAAAGATATAGTGGTTGGAATGCTCTGTCAGCCCAAAAGCTACATTTTACCAGTCCTGGCAAATTCAAATCGTTCGGGTTGAATGTAAAACTTATGTGGATTCTCCTTTCTTCATTTTCCCGACTTCCTCTTAGAATATAATTTTAACACTGAAAATATACCCAGGACAGACAATTCGTCAAGTTCTTCTTCTTTTTACGATAGAATAATTATAAATCAGAACTTTGATACATTCGCAACTATAACTAAGTATTCCCATGTACACGGATCATCTCTCTTGGAAACAACAATGCAACATAGTCGCTGGTGAGAACTTCAACTGTTTCACGACAAATCCAGCTCAACCAAGATGTCTCATTAAAATTCAAATTTCTTTGTTGCTGAAGCACGGTGAATGTTCGATCTGTTGGCGGATGTTATGGTACTAGATACCCTACCACCCATTGCAGGGGGAAAAGTTACATTTGCAGGTGTGATTGTGAGAGCGCAGTTTATTTTGCCACTGTTGTGGTGGAGGGCTGCTGCTCATTAAAATTAATGACTTTACAAAACATTGGTGACATGCTCTGCTCAGCTTCATGCTGTTTGTAAAGACTGTAACCGCCCGCAAAGTTGTATATTATGCATACATAAATGAGCCTGTCTTCAATACATGCTCGGTGGCAAATCTATTGTGTGCAAATTGTCTTCTACTTACTATTCATTGTTCACAGCCATTCTAATATACTTTCACCTGCCGTAAAATAGGCAGCAATACATGTGATTAAGATTTCAACAAAACAAAGTGCAATTTCGAATGCATGCGTCTTTTATTTTTCAGATTAGTTTTAACAGCAAAGAATTGCAAATATTTCTCATTTGTCAATCACACACCTGGAAATTAAATTAAATCCTGTATACGTTCCTGCCAAGGGCCAACTAGCAACCTACTGACAATGTCTCAAAGTTTAGTGGTTCCGATTAATTAAGGCAACGTTCCGCTGTCAGGACTTGTCGCTTAAGAAATACAGGATGTTTTACAATTTTAAATAATTATTATTTTTTGCACATAAATCCTTGTCTGAATCCTTAATTGCAAAATACTGAAACTTACTTTGTGTTCAGAATGGTGACTTTGTAAAGATGACGTTCTTCCATTGTCCGTTCTATTGTGACAAGACGAAGGTGTTATTGGAAACATGAAGTGGAGTTCAAATGATCAATACTATCTTTCGCAGCGTTTGCAAATATCTTACTCGATTCGTTAATGTTGTCTGCAAGACACATTCTACATTGAAATGGTATGATATTGTATGTATATATACATAAATTTTGAGTTCTTGTTTATACGCAATATGGACACAAGGGTAATGTTTTAAAAAATGTTTTAAAGTATCAGAAATAAATGGGGTTTTGACTATTCATGACTAAATAAGGTTTATTCCATTCAATTATTTGAAAATGTGAGGCAAAATCGATTTCATGTTTAAAATAATCGTATTTTTGTTTTACATTATAAAATTCATTTATTTTTATAAATAAATACAGCCAACGCTCTGCATAACGAACTTTTATTTGTTAAAAAAATGATACTTAAAATAATAACAACTTTGCGATATAACGAATATTTCGCTATAGCGAATGAGCATGGCAGTATGTCATTCGTTAAATCAGGGATTTGGCGTGTAATTTTGTTATACCCTAATATTGTTCAACACAAACTTATATTCCTTCTTCCCCTTGATTAAGAGTGTGGACGTCTATTTCTTCTTCCCATTGACAGGCCGAAACACTTTCTTCCTTAAATATTCTATAACTTTATGGTCTTCTCAATATTTTCAATATTTCCTCGGCGGGATCTTATATTTTTAATTTATATATTTATATAATTTTTTTAACTTTTCAAAATTTTTCAAATTGTCCCTTCGACTTCTTGGCAACAATTAAGAATAAGCAAACCACTCCCCCTCTATTACGATACCTCAGCGTTAGCATTATTCCTTTGTGTGTGAGCGACTTTCAGCAAAGCCTACACAAATAATCATATCTAAGTTTACTTTATCTTAATTCAAATGTGTGTCAGAGGCGACAATGACGCCACAGATGGTCCGTCAGAAGCAGTGACGTAAATGACATATATTTTCGACGTATAATACATACATTAGAAATGTATTAAACCCATGCAAAACCATTAGGTTTTTGTATATGATTTCATTTGATAATTTCAAATTTAATTATACCCATATCAGTCTTCAATTTTTTTCAATTAGTGCGAAACATGTTCAAATTTTAAATATTCTTGAAAATGACAGTACGTGGTGTAAATGTTGAAATAATGTTTTCTTACGTTTACAAATTTTTGACAGTTGAAACCCTACAAATTCGTCGCACATTGGCATGGATTGCGGAAAGCAGCAGGAAGCACTAATAAAAATCCACTCACAGAGGCAATAACAATTTCTGTCCCATCTTCTGTGTTCTGTGTGTGAGCTCACTACTAACCGTATCCTTACACATACGAACATGTTCACTTCGTGTAAAACAATTGTTAAGATAAACGCAACAAAGAAGATATTTGCGAATTTCGAAAGAAAGTCCTAAATTTAAATTAAGATTTTGTCTACCTTCTCGCACACACGCTTGCTAAGCATGAATTCGAATATACATAAGGGTGGTGTATGAGTGGAATTGCCACTATATGAATATGTGGCAATTCAGAAACCTATGTGCCCAATGACAGGTTTCTGAGGCAACACGAAAATTTTCCAACTTATATACAGTCGAGTACGCTTATAGCGAACTACAGATATAGCGAACTTTTTTAACAAACTATTTATTCGGTCCCATCTTTCAGTTTTCATTTATTGTATTTCGGTTATAACGAACATACTATAAATATACAAAATTCTTAAGGATGCCAAATTTGCGTACAAATTAATTTATAGCAAACGCTTGGCAAACTTCACAAAAAATCTCAGGTTCATTAAAGTAAAAGAGAAGCAGTTAAAGTATTGCCAAAAAGGACATAACAATTACACATTTTGAACTTAATATCCTTTTTCCTGCTATTCCTTGGTTTTGCCTTACCTTGGATATAACCAACTTCGTCTATAACGAACTAATTTGTTTGGTCCCTACTAGTTCGCTATAACCGTACTTTACCGTATTTGCATAAAAAAGTAACCGACTTATATTCATAACTCTTTGGACCACTTAAATGTCCAAAGAGTTATGTAGTTTGTATCGTCTTAAAAAAAATGAAGGTATCTGGATGGGATTTTTCAAATTTTAAATATTGGAAATCTAACTCAATACACGAACAGCGCATACAAATAATTGAATTTTATTATAAAAATGCGTGCTCTGTTCGCGCGCTTCTTCGTTTTTTTGACCAGTTTAATGAAGGCACTGAAGGTACGTAAATAAGCATTACAAAAGCTACCAATGCAACCAGAAAAGTCCCAATTTGGAGCGGCTTATGAGCTGGTGGCGTCATTGGGCCGTACTTCTTCATAGATGCTGCGAATGGTAATGTAACTTGGTGAGCGCTACCGTGGGACGATATACCCAAAATGCAATGGTTTGACTTGCATGACATGCGGATGCCACTGCCACATTGCACACATAACAGTGGACGTATAAAGAGGCGAGTTCGGTGAACATTTTATTTTTTATCACGTTCGGGCTGGTCACTTTACAGCTTTGATCGTGCGATTTAACACTTTAGGCTATTTTTTTGTGGGACTAAGTAAAACGTCATGTC